AACTGACCAATGATTGCCCCAACAATTGCATTTCAATTCCTTTTGGCCAAAGTTGATGCCACTGAACTTCAAAAAGGAACCATCTGCCAGTTCTCTAACACTTGAGACGGAGATAAAAAAAAAAAAAAACTTTTCTCTTTCTATGTGAGTGTCCATGGCATAAAAATTAGTAGCTACATTTCTTATCTTATTTCTGTTCCATTTCTTTAAAACTCTTTAGTAAACAGCATATGGAAAAATGTTTATTGTAACAAAAATTAAGAATATGTCACAAGGCCAACAATCATCACCGTCTTGTCTTAACTTGGCTAACCATAATCCAAATCCAGAATTGATCATGAAGCAGAATTAAACAGTGCAGTTTTGTCAAGAACACTAGAGTAAGAAATGCTATATTTATGAGCAGAATGTAGAAGAATATACACTTATATTTTATAGATTACACAAAAGCATTTGATAAAATAAGGCACAAAGATCTGTTTGAACTGTTAGGAAAACTATCTATTTGGAAAGGATGTTAGAACAGCCCAGAAATTATATTGGGAGCAAACTACCTGTATATGAATAGAAAATGAATTGAGTAGATATACAAAACTAGACAGGAGTATAAGATAAGGTCCTGTCTTCTCACCAGATTTGTTCAACCTCTGCAGCAATTTATTATCAGTGGGTGTAATCTTCTCAATATAAGATATGATAAGATTATCATATCTTGTCATATCTTATATTGTAGCACAATGTTGATGGCAGACATAAGACAAGCTACAGGACAGATAGTAAATGAAAGTTAAAAAAGAAAAGATGAACAACAGTAAGTCAGAATGCATGGTTTTCAGCAAGAGAAAAAGTCCAGGATGCAAACTCCATATTGGAGATGTCAATATCAAACAATTACCAAAGTTTAAATATCTGGCAAGTGTTTTAACAGAGGATGGAAAATGCAATATCAAAATCTGAACATACATTGAATTAGCAAAAAATGTTTTCCAGAAGCAACAAGAAACAGGTAAATCTCATTAGAAACAAAGAGTTGAAACATTATGTAATATCAATCCTTTTGTATGGCAGTGACTGTTGAGCAGTCTCCTAACATATAAAGAGAAAACTGGAGGCTTGAGAAATGTGGTTCTACAGAAGAATACTGAGAATGGAAACCAAGAACTCATACTCGAAAAGAGAGAGCTGAAATTTTTTAGATTCATAAGGATGGTCGATTTGGAAAATTTTACCCTCACAGGGCACATCAAGGTCAAGACAAATGAGTAAAGGTAACAGGCTACCTTCTTGATGAGCTAATATGAATCATGTGGAATGTGGGACGGTTCAAATACTTGGCAAAGAAACAAATGCTGCTAAAAGCTACAAGGGATAGAAGATTGTAGAGAGCCATGGTTGCTCACGTCCCGAATAGAGAGAATACTAAAAATCACGATCTCTGACCTAATTGCAAAAATATTTTCTGTCACACCAAAACCTCGTACTTACACTTCTCAAATCCTAAACAACCTAACTTGTCCCATGTTTACAAATTAGTGGGGAGGAGGTAACTGAAACAGTAACCTTTAAATTTCCCCAATGAATATTTAAAAAGAAAAACATCTACAAAATAAATAAATGTTAGTAAAAAAACCACAATACTAATTGTGGCAAAAAATAAATAAAATAAATGTATCACTCAAATACACCATAACAAATACAAAAATCAAACACCTTCCGCACCTACCAAAGAACTATAACCTGTCACCTAAAAGGGGAGAAAATTAGAATTAAATTAATGAAAAAGAGAAAAATAAACACGCTACTGAGCATAATAATGATAAAATAAAAGTCATCCTGTTTTAACCTAGTTAGAACAGACTGCCATTGATCAATTCAAATGGTCAAAGTCCTCATGTTTAGCTGACATTCAAATGCCACTAAATTAGTGCATTTCACACAGCAGAAACAGGTCTCATCTACCACTTACCAATTTCTGATGAAAAGACATTTCCTTTCAGTCTTAATATTAATTTTAGACTGATGCTTAAAGAACAGTTGAAAAGAGGAAAACTTTATAATTCCATGTAACTCAGTTGCATTGTCCAGATCACAACTCTCATAATACTGTAAGCACAAGAACAAATAGTTCATTTTTGTTCAGTGATGGTACATTATTACACACAGAATTGTCTTAAAGGACACAAAAAAAAAAAATCTTTCTGCATAGTATGCAAACCATGAAGCTTTCAATTGACTTATCATGCATATGAGGGTGCAGTGAAAGAAGACATAACCAATAGACACCTCCTACTCACTGCAGTGCATGGATTCCAGCAAAATTGTCAGTCCCACTGCATAAAGCTTTTTTGTTGATCCAAAGAGCATGCCATAACATTAGCTGAGCGCAGTGATGCTTCGTTGCTATTGAAGCATCTCAACTAAGACCATAGAGATCAATATACCTGATCCTTTAGACTGAACTCAAATATCAAGTTATCTTGAATGGTCTTCCATGATAAAGACAAGATGTCAGAAGCCATCTTTAGCCAATAAGTCTCTCAGGGCTCTATAATATTTGTAGTAGAAGGAGCACTTTGATGAGAGCATACAACAGGCCTCATCTGTGCACATTTCTCAAAGCTGGAAAGGCTTTTTTGGTGTCCTCCTTCCCAAAATTGCCATTGTGCTATTGCATACACATTTGATCTAAGAATTCAAATGTCTTTCCCAATGCACAATTGGAAATAGATCACCCCTTAAGAAGTCAAACAAGACTAACAAACTTAAGTACCTCAGTGAAAGAACTTTCACTGAGGTACTTAAGTTTGTTAGTCTTGTTTGACTTCAATAAAGATGGGGGTTGATATGCTAAACATGAACTTCTGGTTTCTTTTTTAAGGAAAGATCCTTTGAAGAACCTTCTCTCAAACTCCCAAGCAATTCTTCTCCAGCTCGAGGTTGGAACCAAACTAAACAGTATCTTGCAAGGCCCATCCATCCAACTGAACTGCCCAGAGAAAAAGAATCACTTCCATGCACCTCACTGCAAGCCATCACACTTATTGTGGTTGATCTTGGCCCATGTTAATGTCTTATACCCTCTGATTTCTCTGCCAACTTCATCAATCTTGTCATTGTTCATTACTAGCACAGCCATGTTAACTTCGGTGGGGTACATGACTTAGGTGGTGACACCAGGTTGTGTGATTCCACATAGGATCAAATTTGCCTGTAACTTGCAAAGTAAACAACAGAAGAACATAAGTAAAAGTGGATAACCTTGATGAATAGAACAGAACATGAAGGGTTTCAACTTTACTCTTTTTGTTTCCACCATAACACTGAGATACATACAAAAAGCAAGATTACAACCCCAAACAATGGTCAATCCTATCAAATGTCTTAAACTGATTTAAACCAATCCCCACAGCTTCACTTAACTGTTCTACAATCAAGAATACCAAATGAAGGTTGTCCTTTCATGGCACAATTTTGTTCAAGGTCAATTAGAATAAGCAAGACAGCCTGCAAACTGTTGACTATGACCTTAGCCTAAATCTTTGTTCAACAAAATTGAAAAGGCCAAAAATTAATAACCCCATCTCCACTATGCTTATCATTACATTGCAAATTAACTACACCCTCCGGTGAAGTGCTAGGGTATATTCACATTATTCAACCATTTGTTAAGATCAGTGCTAGTAAAGGGACAAACATGGGTGACTACTTGAAATATATCTTATAGGGAAGACCATCTATCCCAAGTCTTGTCCTTGCTGACAAACTTCAGTACTTCTCAAATTTCTGTCTCTGATATAAGTACCTTGCACCCAGTCATGAGCAAGAAAAGTCTGTTAAATAGGTGTTGAACCAAGTAGAGCTAAGACAAGGTGAAAAGTTCCTGAAAGTAATTCCAAAATGTCTCAGATATTTGTAGTCACTTGTTGACCAGCATAGATTAGTAATAAAGAATAAAACTGACTTTTTATCCCAATTTCCAGACTGTCAACAACAAAAATTGATTAAATATTAGTCCAAAATAAATCAAATAATCCTATTATAACTGCTTCTTCCATAATTAGCACACATACTACACTTTGCCATTAGCTCAGATAAATAATGGACAATTCCGTTTTTATTGTAAGGAAAGCTGGAAGAAAAGGTATAGAGAGGCGGTTTTGTTTTAGTGAAAAAGAGAACATATAGAGGCAATAGTAATCCTGCATTTCATTAAAATGAATAACCTTATCAATTTTGGATGTTTTCATTTGTACTTCTCTAAATAATGAAATGCATTCATAATTAGGATTGTTATTGCAATATTCTATTAAAACTGGTAAGCTCAAATATTTAATGATGCAATAAAATTTCCATGGGTATTTTAAAGTTTTAGAACTCACAAGTAATTTGTTCAATCATTAACTTAAGAATGATGATGCATCAAAAATTCAAATTGAAAAACTGAAATTTTCAGATATTAGTTAATAATTAAAGTTTCATCTAATAATAAACTAAATATTACTATTTATATTATTTGGGTTACCCCACATGTCTTCACCAAAAGCACCAATTGGGTGGCACTATTTAATTTTATAAAAAGGTAAACATTTCCTTCTCTTTCTCATCCCTTGCTTTTAGATGTAGTCAAACATAGATAAAAAATGTTGCCAATGGAGTACATTCATTTTCTTGGTCTACTGACACATACACATTCTTATAGCTAGTTTCCTTTTATTTCAGTTGCATATACAAACAATTCCTTTTGTTAACAACATGCATTAATTGTTTTACTTTAAATTCCATGTCTTGTGTTTATTTTACCCAGACTCATAGGAGTCTGACAAATATTGCTTGCGGGACAATGTTCCAGAAGCTGTTAAAACATTTACTGAAAAACGTTTACATCTCTCACATCAAAAGCATTGATTCCTGCAACAAACACAATTAAAAAAGAATTACACATTCAATAAAAGGATTTACTAACATGTGGCAGACAGGACACTGACATGAAGCAGACTTACAGAGATAATGTGACCTCCAAGACCATGAGCAGCATCAGCACATTCGATAACAGCACTCAGCTGGGGATAACCAATGCCAGTTTTCTTCCTTGTGGTACAAACAGAACCAGGACCAATTCCTACTTTTATGATGTCAGCACCTGACAAGATCAACTCCTCAACCATCTCTCCTGTCACAACATTACCAGCCTGGAAGAACAAACAAAAAAGTTCATTTAGTATCATGTCATTTTATCAACATGAAACTAAATTCTTTTGTAAGTTATTTAAAGCCAGAAAATATTTTTAGATTGTAAAAGAAAAAAACTTTTGTGAGATTTACTGATACAAGTCCTACTAATTAACCCATAGCTGGGGGGGTGAGAAAAGTTGGATTCATACCTTTCAATATGGTATTTGCACATAAGCAAATACAAAAAATGCAATTGGAATGCTTATAACACCTGGGTTACTCATCTAGCTTGACATTAGTCAGCCGGTAATCATACGGGAATTAGTGTTTCAACCTGATATAACTATAAGCCCCTCAGAAAATCATTACAGTTTTTGTTTTGTTTTTTGTACTTCTTGTCCTGTGTTCTTGGATTGGCATTTTTTTAATGTTTTGATTTTTTTTTAAATTATTTCATCCCAAAGAAGGCAATAAAGCCACAAGATGCAACGGGGTTACTGAGTATTAGAGAATACAAGAAAAACATGCTTTTAAAGAGAGAAGACAAAAGAGCAATGAAGACAAGATAATGATATTGCATTGAAATTTTTGGCGTTAAGCATTTTTAACTAATATCGCCTTCATTTTTTTTTTTTTTTGCTTTCATCTTCAAAATCTTAAAACTGGGATCAAGATTCTTTATTAAAAGTCATGGCCTGATAAACTGAGTAGCAGAGAACATATTTTAAAACAGTTTTTTTTTTTTTTTTTTTTTTAATTATTTTAACAGTTTTCAAACTTCTTCAAATCCAAATCATTATTGCTACAGTCTAAGTTCTTACCATAATGACATGCTTGGGGAATTTTTTACGGACATCTCGAACAAACTGAACAAAATATTCAGAGTATCCATTTGCCACATCTAGACAGATGTAATGCAAGTCTGGAATTGCATTTACAATGCTTTCCAATTTCTCAAGATCTCCACCAGCCATACCAGAACTGACAGCAATATTCTGAAAATGAAAAGAGAAAAATAATGAAAAATGTCATATATATATATATATATATATATATATATATATATATATATATATATATATATATATATATATATATAAATTGTACAGAAGTTTTAATATCAAATTTATATCAACAATTTGAAGGAAAAGAGTTGGTTTTAAGTTTGACACTGCCATCCCAAGTATAAGGAAGATAGATTCCTATAGTCTTTCTTAGTCTCCGACGATACACACACCCGAACCGTACGACCAACTCAAAAACAAAAGAAAAAGAAAAGACCAAAGAGATTGCTCCTTTTATATCAGTTCTAAGTGGCCGAAATTTGCATACATTACACGTCCATGACTCATAAATAACACCCACCAAGAACACTCATACTTTTATTGTTAACTTCCGACACTCTGCAGGCGAAACGCGTTTGCACTTGTTTTGGATTCTAAGGTAGCCTATTTTCTTTTTCTCCTTGTTCGTCCAGCATTTCATTTAGTCAGGGACTGTTGCTACATTTGCGTAAGCATCCACTATTCTGCTTACATATCACGCATGCCACTCGTTGTCTCTTAGAACGGCGAACTGTAGTCAGTTCAGCAGAACCCACAGACTGCTGCCTTTCAGCTTTGCTACACAATTAGTAAAAGAAGTAATATTTAGCCTTTATCACTCTGTATGTGACTTCATTTGCTGTACAAAAAGTTTATCCCGCCACTGAAGGTGACTGATCACTGAACAATAGTGTGAATTTCAGTAGTGTTGTCATATCCTGCTATGGCAACAGAAAACAACTTTGAATTAAACAGTGAGGATACCGCAATTAAGAGGCCTTGAGAAAAAAAAAAAGAATGCAGTAGAAACAGAAGTAATATTAATAATGCAAAGTGCTAAATAATTTTTGGTGGTACAAAACCTAAATAAAACATGAAGCAGAGACAAGTTGAAAATTACTTATTTCAAAGGGTGAGGGTGTAAATCCTTTTAAGGAGACAACATTTTATCAGTCCTTATTAAAGAGAATCACTGATAAATATAAAAGCTTAAATAAAAAAATGAAATATTTTAAAAGTTATCTTATTTTTTTTACATCTCATTACAAAAAAAAAAAAAAAAACTTGTAAAAAAAACTTGACTTGAAACATCCGAGGTAGCCTAGGTTGATTGTCTTACAAATTTATCAGATGTTAAACACAAATCTTTACTTTACTCATTAATCAAACAGGCTATTTCCTAGAATAGGAGCTTCATCCCTACTGAGAACTCTACTATAGTAGCCTTGTGCCATACTAACCTAAATTTAGTAAATATTTTTATGCTACCAAAATGACAATATAAAATTTTCTACAGTCCATTAGTGTCCAGACTCTACATTGACAGAACCAGCATCTAATTCATTCTATAACTTCATCTCAACAACAATGACTAACTCATGTCAAACACATTGATTTTTTTTTTTTTTATTATACAGTAAGGTTAACCCTGTACAAGGCATAGAGGCTACTTGAGGTAGAGGGTTACATTAAGGGGCAGTATGCTACTATGTAAGTGACATGGTGAGGGTCCTAGAAGGTTAGTTCCATTTAAGATCAGGCGTGAAACCCAATATCCTCTCAAGGCCTCCTCAAAGGGAAATTCGTTCATTGTGACTGGTAGTAGTTCAGGGTCTCATCAGCAGTGATGAAATGTAACCAGTTGGGTTTTCAAGGCATTGAATGTAGCCAGCCAGTTCTCCCCACTGCCAGGAAGTTAATGTTAGATTGGAAGAGAAGTCAGCTGCCAATCTCTGATCAAGATTTTTAGAAATGCACATATATAGTCATATTGCCATAGATGTTTAGAAAAGATCAGAGTATATTCTTATACAGATCATTTAAGTAAATCTGAAAGAGGGTTGCCTGAGAAGTGATCCCAAGAGAATACCTGCGTTGACTGCAAGGGCCTTGGAGAACTGGCCTTTAATAACTATCTTCAGGGATCTACCTGTTAGGAATAATTTATAATAGAGAAAACCCTTCCAGCTATTCCATATCTGGAGATCTTGTGTAGCAAACCTTTATGCTACCTCTTGTTGAAGGCCTTCAAGATATCTAAGGATATGGTCATCTGTGTGTGTTTGTGTGTGTGTGTAAGTGTCATTGAAAGCCTCATTAAATATGTGTATGGGTAGTTTGGACATCAGCAGTGGATTGGGCTGATTGAAACCCATACTGCTTGTCACAAAAGAGGTTATTCCTATCTAGGTGCTCGACAACCTTCTTGTTGATTAAAGCCTCAAAAAGTTTACTGATGATACTGAGGAGACTAATGGATCTGTACTGGGAGTGGGAGGATCACTCAACCACATTCTTGAAGATGGGCATATGCTTGACTTTCCACTGTCTTGGGAAATATTTCTCCTTCAAGCAGCAATTAAATAACTTTGCTGAGATTGGGGATAATTCTGAGTTGATATTCTTAAGGATGACCACTGCAATTTTTTCTGGGCCAGTGGCTTTTTGGAGGAAGGCTTTTGATAAATCTAGACTTCTCTTTCTGAAATGAGTATATTACTGAGATTGTGCTCAGTGAGACGTGGGAAGTTGGGGAGGCGATGGCCTTTGTCTGACAAGGAGGATATGACCTCAGGGTCATTTATAATAGTGGGCACAACCACTTTGCTTCTGTTCATAATTTGGTTGGTGATCTTCCATAATTTGCAAGATCCAATTTGTTCTTTTCCAAGCTTAACCTGGACAGCTTTCATGTAACTACACATAGCATTTTCCAGAACTATCTTACATCAATTGCAGGTAGTTCTGAACGTAGTAAGGTCAGAATACACTGATCCTTATGATAGATATTCAAATAGTGGTTGCAGTAAGCTATGACAGGTATGCATTCAGGAGTGAACCAAGGCCAACTGTTTTTTTGCTGGAATTTTTTTGTGGGTATAAAGCACTTCATTCTAGAAAGGATCCCTTCAAAGATTGAGACAGTATGTTTGACGAAGGTTGGGAGGGGAGCTTCTGTCATATAGGACCAAAATTTCCCAGTTTGCTTCCGCATAGCGAAAAACCGTTCTATGGAATTGGGGGATATCATTAGTTTGGAATCAATCTGGACACTGACTAGGGAATGGTTCAATGTGCAATAAAACTTTTGCTGAGCATTTGTCAAGGCAGGATGTTAGAGAAAGGTCGAGGAGGTTTGCCTGCATTTGAATATTCTAATAATGAAATTAAAAAATAAACTATTATTCAGTATTTACTTAGAATACAAATGAAATAAAATTCTGAGAAATACAGTGTGCAATGAATAAATTATCATCTAAATTATGTAAAAATAACACAGACATCTCATTTTAACAGGTATATTTACCAAAATTTCAAATATCTTGAAGTAAATTTATTCAATAAATTCGCTATTGGCTTCAGCCATACTCTCCAAATGACTTCAGAATCTCCTGCAACTTTTCTGGATGGTCTCCTTTTTTAAGTTGATAAATGCTGCCATAATCCTTGACTTCAGTTCATCTTTGGTATTATAAAGAGTTTTGCTGGTCTTTCTCTCTCAACTGTGCTCCACACATAATAATCAAGAGGTTGCAGTCTGGGAAGTTAAGTGGCCAGATGTAAGGGGTGATGTAGTCGCAGAAATTGTTTAACAAACATGACTGGGTTCTCATGCTCGTGTGGCATGGTGCAGAGTCCTGTTGCCCGACATAGGGACTTCCAGCAGCCACCCTCTTGACCTAGGGCAGCACTATCTACTCAAAGCACTTGATGTAAGCCTCCATGTTGTGTGAGGCCCTCACCAACAAATTCAAGAGTTCTTTTCTTATCAGAACAATCAGAGTGAGTTTTCCAAGCTGCCATATCTTCATAATCACCATTAGACTCAGCTAATACTTTCCAAATCTTCTGCACTATCCTCAGATTGATACCCAAACACTCTGAAATGTTCATATTGCATGCACAAAATTAAAAATATAAAATACTGGCTATTTACCCATTGCACCCTGTATATAGGCAATCAATGTTTGATTGCCAAGGAAGTGTCGTTAATTCTTTTTAATATTTTAATGCTTATTCAGATCCTTTACAGAAAAAGAAAACTGACAGATTCCTTGCTTATTAATAAGGAGATATGTGCATAAATTAAAAGGGAACAAATTAATTTTTTTAATATTTTGGCTTATATCTGATATGGTGACTTCATTCTAATGAAGATTTACTTCATTGTGTGTCCATTGTTTATCTGAAGCACTGGATTTAATCTAGTTGTAGTAAAGAAAAGACTGTCAACTGATAGTAGCAACTGCAATAGATTTCTTCTGTTTCTCGACTGCAAGACTTGTAGCCAAATCACAGTTCAAACGATAGTCCGACGTAACAGTCCAACACACAATGTAGAAACGACAAAATGGGGTCACACATCCAACCTTCACTTCTCACTAACAACAACACATGTTCATTCCACCAAACTCAAAAAAATCATCTCCTTTTATAAGCGAAAAACAACGACTTCTGTTCACCGAGAGAATTTTCTGATTGGTCACGCCATTCAGGAGAGGGAAGAACATTAGCATAGCTTCTAGTCATTGATGTAGATTTTTGCTAACTAATTTTTGGTAAATTTTCTTTGGCAGATCGCACACAAAACACAAACTTTTTTCGGGGTAACTGATTATCTCTTTCACTACACTCCCCCGTCACATAAGTGACACTGATGGGCGGGACTCTTCATTTTTAAGCTTCTCCGGAGTGGGGCGACTGTTGGAGGAGATTGTGTGTTATGTTCTGATGATTCTTCTGATCTGACAACCTCACGCACAGAGTCTTTGTCATCTGAAGAATGCTCTGAAGATTCTTCTTCTGAGGATTCTTCTGGTCTGATAACCTCACGCACTGAGTCTTCGCCATCTAAAGAGGTGCTAGCCCTACTTCCGATGGTAATTATTCATTCACTTTCTGAGCACTCACTGCTAGTGTCACTTGTTGAAGTATCTGTACTTACATAGTGACACAAGTCTTTTATGTGTCTTGGTATTCTATCAACCAGCAAAGAGTGCGAGTTACTTACTCCAGTGACATGCTCCACCCGGTCCCAAGTTGTACACAGTCTATGTGGAGCTTTTACCCACACGTGATCGCCCAAGTCATACGGCGCACATTCTTTTATCTGTTCAGTTGAACACGTTGCGTCAATGCCTCATAGCCGAACTTTGTACCGATAAATCATGTTGGCTGGCGCAGTTGAGGGTGATACATTGTCTTTCAGAGTAACGTTGTACCAATATACCGCCTCCATTATGGAACACTGCTTCCTAGCAGCAATTCTTTTGATGCTCCAATGACATCGCTCGATTATGCCATTTCCTGATGGAACATAAGCGCAGCGAAATCTGAGGTGTACTCCTCACGAATCCAAAAAATCTTTGAATAATCCATTGCGGAATGCAGTGTCGTTATCAGTGAGGAGTTCTGTCGGAGGTCCACGTTCAAAGAACAATGACCCCAAGTGGTCAATGATGCTCGCGGAATCCTGTCGACGCAGACGTCACAAAATAGTGATGTCCGTTATAATGGGTGATGTCCATTCCAACACGGTGCCACACCTTGCTCACACTCAGTTGTCCTTTTTGCCATTGCACAGGTGCTGGCTCGATGGACTGACACTCCTTGCATTCCCTGACCACTGCCCTAACAGCAGCTTTGGATACGGAGGGATAAATCTGCCTCACGAAATATAGGGTCCGTTTTACACCGGGATGTCTGCTTTGGCAATGCACAGATTTTAGTAAATCTGAGTTATGGTTGCTTGCTGATGTTACACAGACATGTCCTACCGGCTCTACCTCTTAATAGCATCAAGCCATTTTTGGGGTACCCTTGTTAAAGTATCGGCCTTGTTCTGATGTGATCTAACCAGCTGTATATCTACGGATAAGTGGTATTCCCTTACCAACTTTCCCAGTGTGTCTAGCCGTCTTCAAATGAGCATCTCACTCGCAGCCTTTGTACGTATCCTGCCCTTCCCCGTAAAAGTGTCTGCTATCCACTTATACATACATGCGGAATCCGTGAATAAATGCAACACCTTTGCATTCCATTGAAGGGCCGCGGTTACTCCCCTGATAACGGCGTCTAATTCCGACAGGTTGATATGTTGTGTATCCTTCTCGGGACACAACCAACATGCATCTTCCATGACAGTTTCACCTACTTCAAGAGACAATCCTGTTGCAAGGGAGCTTGCATCAACCCAGACGTTAAATTCACCAACAACAACGCGTGTTCACTCCACCAAGCTCAAAAAAATCATCTCCTTTTATAAGTGAAAAACAACGACTTCTGTTCATAGAGAGAATTTTCTGATTGGTCACGCCATTCAGGGGAGGGAAGAACATTAGCATAGCTTCTAGTCATTGATGTAGATTTTTGCTAACTACTTTTTGGTAATTTTACTTCGGCAAATCGCACACAAAACAAACTTTTTTCAGAGTAACTGATTATCTCTTTTACTACAGTAGTCTTGAATTACAGCAAACATAGCCTCAAGATCTTTCACTATTATGACAAAATCATGAGTTAGTTGCATGTACATAGTCTAAAGATTTGTTGGTTCCAATCCTGTATAGAATGATTGCAAAATACTTCCCTTCCCCAATTTATAGGCAAAAGCATACAAATGCATGCTGGGATTTCTTTCTAGACAATAACCCAGTTGTCAGTTTCATGACTCAGTCCCAGTCTTGAAGTTAGAATGCTATGTTTGCTTATCCAAGTTTGCTTATGTGCAAACCACAATTAGTTGAATTTTTTTGCCATATTACTGTTGCTTTGCCTTGAATATATTGTTTGCTTTATATTATTTTTCCTCTTATTCTTGTTATTGCTAACTTTGTCAATTCCAATCATTGGACAGTTCTGTCATTTATTTTATATTTAACCATGGCCACTCAGGCTACAAGATTTTCACCCTTATGACAAAGCAGATATATTTTGCTATAACAAAGATTTTACTAAACTCCTAACATGTTTTCTAAAAGATTGTTATGATTCTTGACATACATTCTATATAAAGATAATGCTAGTCTATTGAAGAGAGCACTGGACAGAATTAACACCAGAGCAATTATATCTGTAAGAAATAATGATTATAGTCATAAATAAGAAAGAAGAAATATATTAATAGCAATTTTTTTCATAACATGCTTACATTTACAGTTTCTGGATTCTTTGTAGCAAATTCTTTCCATGCCTCCAAGGAATAATGCTTGTGGATAACAGTAAACACTCCATGCTAGAAAAAGAAAAATAATGATAATAATGGCAATAACATAAGAAAATCTTTATAATAATTTCTATGAAAGATATAAAATTATATGAATAGGGATAAACTATAGATCAAATATTGACCCTAATCTGACAGAATAAGATAAAGATCAAATAGGAAACATTTATCAATCTAACAGATTTCACTTTTATTAAACCTTCATCAGAAAATGAGATAAAGTAAAAACAAGAAATACTGGTATAATGGGGTTGATATTAAATGAAATTAAAATGCCTAAAACATACGATAACAATAAAAACTTGAGACATGTTGACATAAGAATTTGTATTTTCTTTTTGCGATATGAATTACAGAATAGTGGTATAGTGTGTGTAAAAATGTTCTCAGTGTCTGTTTTGTTTAAGAGTCAATGCTTACTTGTTTTGTTTCAAAGAAATTTGGCAGTGAGAATGCCATTTGAAATTGTCCGTTTTTGATCTTCACAGAGCACTGGCGAGACGTGTTTATGTACTGCTACTTTTCTACCCATCTACTGACTACTGCTACGGGTAACCTAGTCTACTCTGTTCTCTCTCGTGGTGGAAGGATCATTTTTATAATAAGGTTAGGATGATGAAATATTGTTTTCTATTATCACTGATGACAAGGTTATTTTTAAAATGATGAAATATCCTTATTTTTTTGTCATCACTGATAGCAAGATTATTTTTAAATGAAATATCATTCTGGACCATAATACTGGTATTTTTATTTTTGCGTTTAATTTTCATTGGTTAATTAGGACTCTAATTCAAGGAGAGACAACACATCCCTTCAAATCTCCAAGAAATTAATGGATTCTAACGCCAACTGAAAAACCGTAAACATTGCTTTTTGTATGCATGTGTATAACAATTCTAGTATGTTTATGTATCATAGTAAGTGAATGACAAAATGGAAAAAATTTTCTAGTGCCATATTCTATTCCAAGAACGAACTTCTACAGACTAATAAGTTTTATTGATGAAATCAGTCCTGTATATAAAAGGAGGGGGAAAAAATTCAACAAACACCAATTACAGTTAACATCAAAACATTAACAATACAAAAGAGTCTCAAATACTTTCATGTATGGATCAATAACAAATTTAGCATTGGTGAAAAGTATATTGAACATAGAAAAGACAGCACTAGAGGTAGTTTCGTCCAACACTGCAAATTGCTACAAAGCCGAAACATTAACCTAAAAACTCAAGTCACATTCTTAAATAGCTTCATATGTTATTGCATGGCACCAAACCCATTCAGAAATATTTAAACTGTCTGCTGTATTCAACCGCTTTCTAAGATCAATGGTTAAAATAGCTTTAAGTAAATGAACATCCTTTGAATATTGTGGACTGGTGCTACAGAATCACAAACAAAGAACTGTACCAAATAACAGAAACCACATCATTTGATGACTATCACTAGCAGCAACAATTAAAATGGATAGCATGTGTAACTCAAAGGAAAAATCCACACTACTTCAAACAAAAGGTTAAAAAGAAAAGCTTCCATCAATACTGGAAAGAGTGATAACAGCTATTGAACTTGAGAAATCCATTTTCTTGAAAAATTGTTTTAAGAGAAAAATCATAAATTTCAACAAACGCAGTATGCTGTTCGGTCAATGAATGTCAAATTATTCCTTATAGAGAAACAACAAATATTATCATTTAACACCCAGTCTCTATATGTTTGAATTAGCCCGTTTCATATGGCTTTTTATTCGCATTATTCCATATAAAAAGACAGTTGAAATTTCTAGGGCACATAATGAGGAAAAAGGGCTTGGAAAATTTGACATTCACAGGACATTAAAGGCAAGAAGGATAAAGGAAACCAGCACATAACCTAGTGAACTTGTGCAAATGATTGGCAGATTAGGGATTAAGAGATATAGCTAAAAGACAGACAAAGGGACAGGAAATGGGGGAGGGGAATGATTATCCATGTCCTGAAGGGGCACAGCACATAGAAGAGGAATCCCAGATTGTACCAGCATTGGTTTATTTAGGAAAGGAGATATTTTTTTATGATCCTGGACACAAATTTACCATAGAGAATTCCATACTTAGTCTACTTTAATAAATTTTCACATTAATAAATTACTTTCTCTTTAATTAAAACTATATTCATAATAGGTCTGACCATAATTTTGACTTAAAATTATGGTCAGATCTATTGTAATGCATGACTAATGCATTTAATGTATTATTTTTTAAAAGATCCATTTTATGTTCATATAATCTTTGTTTTTTAAATTCATGTTTCCCCTGTTTCTTGGAAAATTTTTTGCAATTAATTTTGTAAATTCTAGCTTCAGGTTTAATGTTATTTTGTTTTGTAATGAATCCTTTTTCCCTTTAAGTATTTGTGGCAAATACTACATTAACTTTTCAATAATTTTTTTTTGTAGTCTATGTAGAGTTAGTAATTTTGCACAAAATTCTATGAAAGCTATTTGTGTTATATATTTTTTGATTTTTGTGAAGTTTTTAAGCTTTCCTCTTTATGCTATATCTGAAATAATTTGGATATTGAAAGTGTTTAAAGTAATTTCAGTACATTTTTACCTACTATATCTTATCTCTCATATGTGCATATCCTAAGCACAGCTGGGTTGATCCCATTTTTAAAGGGCAGTCACTGACATCAGGTGAAGAGTGGATTCAGCACTTGGTTTTCCCCCAATTATGGGTTAAACAGTAAGATAAATCGTTATCTCCAAAACAGTTCATGCAATATTCGGTCAAAAAACACTTTAAATAATCTTCAAAGGGTTGATAAGCCATAAAAGAAAAAAATATCAGTCAATCAAAACTTGGCTTTCAAGGACAGTTCAACCTCTATTCTGGCATCTGAAATGAGTCACATACAAAGAAGTCTTAAGGGTAATCAGAACTAAAAGGACACTTGAAAAAGTTGAAATGTCTAGTACATATGAGGAAAGAAGGATTGGAGAATCTAACATTCACAGGACATAAGACAATAGAATCAGTAAATAAGCTTCTGTGAATTGAATGCAGAACAGGGACAAGAGAGAGGGGTAAAGAATCAAAAGTTAGAGCAACAAAAGAAAGTTGTAGAGAGCCATGATCACCCATGTTGTGAAAAAAAAAAAAAGTTCTATTGGTGGGAGTGGGGATTTAAATAACTTCTAACTTTGACTCATTTATGCATATAATTGTTTTTTGTTTAATAACATTTACATCTGAAATAGAATGCAAGAAATAGGACCATAAATTATTCAGTCAAAATATTAGTACAACCAAATTAGTGATTTTTTTTTTTTTTTACCTTGGAAAGTTGAATAGCCATCTCAAATGTTCCAACAGTATCCATATTGGAAGCCATAATGGGGATTCCTCTGTAGGTTTGGCCACTGTTCCGGAAAATGAATTCCCGGACTAAATCCACCTGGAAAAAAAAAAAAAAAAAAAATTATAATTTGAAGAATTTTTTTTCTCAGTTAAATTACAAGTAGTAACCAAGTGACAAAGCTTTATCAACTAAAAAGACATCTTGTCTTTTCAATAGCATATATGAAGGATATAATCAATAAAATATCTTCTCTGAATTTCTGGAATAAAGAGTTATTTATTTACATCCCGATTAATGTTTTCAGCTTTATCATAAGGTTTCAGCCATTATGCCCTTCACTGAAAGGTGGGTATATGTTATGAAAAAGTGGTTTGCATAAATTTGGCCAAACTAGATTTCCTCCTTTAGTCCCTTTCAGGTCACAACAGGACAGATTCCTGATTCTAGTCAAGGTGAGTGACTGTTGTTCCCAGCCCCCTATTTTGTTATGGCCTTTTTTAATATCCCCCCATATTCTTGTTTTGTTTTTGTTTTTTCATCTTGACTGGACCAGCCTTTTACATTTTCCCAATCCCATTTTTTGCCCATCCCCATTAACAAGTGAGCTTCTTGATTCTGTTGGATGGCAGAATACAGCAGCCATTCCTGTTTTTTGTGGAATGGACAGTACCTTTTTCTTTGATTTAATAAGTTTAACCACCATCCTTTTTATATAAAACAATATTTTAGTGAATGTTTGAACTAAATCATGAAGAAGTTCTTAAAGTATTTGTGCCAAATTTTAGAATGGCTGAGTTTTGAATTAAACTAGTTAGGAGTAAGCAGGATAGTTACTGATGACTAACCTCTCCCCATAGCCTTGTGCCAAAAGCATTCTTCTTCATGTATTTCACTCCAGGTAATCTTTAGAGAATTTTTAACTGAATTCTTTATTTTTCTAAGGAGGTGCTTATAGCTTACTCTATGGGATTACACCACCTGTCTGCTTGAGAGCCTTCTCTTAATGCTAGGTGACATTGTATAAAAAAAAAATGTATAAAAGGAAAAAACTCAATCTATTTTGCCCCATCCCTTACCCACAGAATGAAAAAACAAATAGGTGACATTTGTCTTTCTGCGCAACATAAATAATGTAACCATAAAAATATTGGTATTTTAATAAATCAAAGGTTAAGTATTTTTCACTGATATTTTTCTAATATGGAATTGGAGATTTTTTTTTTTTTAATTCAGTCACTTTATACAGCCAAAACTGTACACACTTACTTTGCCCTTATTGTAAATACAGTTTGTTTTTTTTTTGTTTTTTTTAATGCTAATGTAAATTGATATTTTGAATTCTGCCAACAATGTGAAGGACACAAACAATGAATAAGAGCTATTAACATTAGCATCTGTCTACTTTAAGGACAATCACTTAGAGTTACAGAGTTACCTCCCTCAAGTCACGAGTTTGCTTTTTTTTTTCTGTCTTCATGTTTTTCATTTTTCTCTCGCAAATGATACAAGGAAAAAAAAAAAAAAAAAAAAGCATAATTTCTCTATACCAAACCTTGTGTACACGATGTACAATCATAAAATACAGTTATTGTCACAAATCAAATTTATTTTAGGGGCTCAAATTGTTTTTGTTTTTTTTACATTCTTAAATGTAACAAGAAGCTGCATTGTTACATTTTATATTATTGGAACCCAATAATATAAAAAAAAAAAAAAAAAGTATAAAAGACATACACTTAAATTCTATTAACATCCAAGCTTTTACAAATAAATTACTACGATCTCAATTTACAGGGTATTTTTCTGATTTCAACCAACAGGTTGACAAATTTTAAAAGGCTATAAATGTGTTGTAGACCAAAAGATGTTTTTTTAAGAATGTGTTATTTATTAATGGTTATAAAGGAAAAAATTACAGCCTGATGATGAGGACATGAAGTCCTTGAAAGTACTTGCTGCTATAAAAAATACACTAGATCCATCTGACAACAATTTTATACATAAGGATCGCATCATTCAGTGGATTGTTAGTAGTTTAATGCTTATTTTAAGTCTATTAGCAAAGAGATTTCACCATTAATATTGCTAATTGATTCAATGTATGATTATCTTTATAATATAAATATGCTGCCTTGTATATATATATATATATATATATTATACATACACAAAACCACTAAAAACTTAAATTGAGCCTAAATAAATACTGATCTATTCTAAAAAAGAACAGATTGTATCAAACAAGTAAATATTCCTTGTTTGACATTGATAAAACTGACTACATAGATGCATGCAAAGAACAATTGTAAAAATTATTTTATACAAAATACTAGTTTTGTTTGTGTTTTTCTTAGAAGGGTTACTTGGTTGGCCTAATAACTTTTCAACACATTCTCATATTCATATGTCCAGTTTTCAATAGAAAGAGTTTTATGCTACATTTCACCACCCCTCAATTACTTTAAGCAAATCTTAAATTTTTGCATGAGATTTTATTTCTACATAATAAAATTAAATGCAACCTTACTGGCCTCTTAAATCTTACAAGAGGAAGAAGCTATAATTGATTGGGTTTATATTATAATAAAAAAAACAAAAAAAAAAAACAGCCGATTCTGTTCGTCACACTGTCTGCATGTGACTTTGCATATGCGCATGTATGTGTTGCATGTGAGTGACTTACAAGTGCTTGTGTCATTTAAATGTACATACCAATTTGACCAAGTTTGAAATAAGACACTGGAATAATCTATTACCCTCTCACCCAATCTGAATAATCCCTACACAAGGCTAAGAAAAAAAAAAAAAAAAAAACCCCCCACAAAAAAAAAAAAAAAAAAAAAAAAAAAAAAAAAAGTGTCCAAAATGTCTGCTTACATATAACTGAAATAAAATAAAAATAACTTTTTTTTTCACTTACAGTCAGAAAGCTTTAATATCTTATAGATAATTTTTCTATCTATTGATATCAGTCTACTCAGATTAGAGAAAAAAGTCTGAGTATTGCCGCTATATCTGGGATGAAATTGCAAAATCCTAACTTTTCAGCCTTGATAGAATTCAAAGTCATTTACAGAAGTCTTGCAGAAGATAATGTATTTTCCACCCAGCATCCACTTGCCACACTGACACAATGTTACAAGACTATCACTTGCTATTTCCATGGCAAATAGCCAGATGAGTACCATAAGTTCAGACCTTTACAACCAAAACATGCCATGTCCATAGAGTCAAATCACACTCATTCCCTACATATTCCAATTGTAAGGAGAAATTTCTCTGGCAGCTTTGTTCCAAAAACCACTTTGTGGAACAGACTCCTAAGTGGATTTTTCCTCAAAAACTACAATCTTAACCTCTTCAAATCAAAGGCCAGTTTTTACTTATTCTTATCTTATTACTCTTACAGTTCTATCACATGCCACATTCAATAATCCTCTACCTTGAGTGTGTCTCTTGGGCCTTGTATTGGGTGAACATTAGTAAAAGAAAATAAATAAATATATATATATATATATATATATATATATATATATATATATATATATATATATTTCACTAGTTAAAAAAAAAGTGACTCAAAAATATAGAAAGCGCACTTTGAAAATTTGACACTCACATAACATATTGCAGACAAGAGGAATAGATGGAAACTACCTAGCTTGTGCAAATGGATGGCAGAACCAATTCAGATAAATAACAAAAAGACAAACATTACTAAGAGTTACAAAGGATAGGAAGTTGTAGAGAGCCATGATTGTCCACCTCCTGAAGAGATTCCTCAGGTAAAAGAAACTACTCGGATCCAATTTTTTGGTGTAAATCACTTTCATCTGCATTTAGAGATGAAGTTGAACATTTTCAAGAGATGCCATTGATTAAAATATCAGCTTTAGTAAAAGCTTCTGAAATCTCATTTTTCTGTTCATTACAAAAAAAATATTTATCTACAAATTGCATCATAGTGCCATATTGGGAAATCAATTGCATCTTTTATTCCTTATGGTATTTCTATAAGTTCCGTGAGATAGGAGAAAAAAAGACATAAAATAAAAGTTTGAAGTCAATATAATTACAATTATACTTTTGTTATTACACTGACAGTAATCACTTTCTTTTATTGCTCTCCCTTTTCCCAGGACTGCCATATATTTAGACAAGATTTCTGACTGTATAGAAACAGTACTCTCTTCATCCATCTCAAACATCATTGTTTGGTGATTTTAATGCACATCACAATACATGGCTTAAATATTCTGTTACTGGCACCTCACCTTCTTTTTCATTGCTCAGTCCCTTACTCAAATCAGATTTTCCTAATAAATCTGAGCAACAGGGTTTATTTCTTACCGCCTCTCCTAACTCATGCTGGGCTTCGCAACACTGTGTTCTTGGCAATTCTGACTCTGTAGTACCTTTTGATATATTTCATTCCAATCACTTATTAGATCACCAACCTCTTATCATAAGACCTTTCTATTACTAGCAAGCTGATTTGGATTCACTGTGACTTTCAAGAAAAGTGCTGAACTGAGATTTTTTATATATAATGTTTCATTAAAGATGACAGACAAGGTACTGCAATTAAGCTTTTTACTTAAATTTTATTGTGTTCATTTTCTTTTCTGAGCACAGCGTGTGTAGAAACTGTTCAGTTATGTTTGTGGATTTCATCATTTAAATGTTGATGTCGTAGTGGTGTTACTTTCTTTGTTGGCTGCCAGGTTGTGTAATTTGATAAATGTGTATTTAGGCAGCAATCCTTTCCCAAGAGGTATTTGCATGAAAGTGAATATAATAATCTCAACTGAAATTGAAACTCAGCTCTCAGATTAACAATTTATCTGTTACACCACCTGCACATCCAAGTTTACAGCACCTGGTATTTTCAAGCAGTCACCCATCTAGATACTGATCAGGCTTAATGTTGCTTAAATTCGAGGATTGTTTGGATACCTGTGTTTCAACACTATATGGCCGTAAGCAGAAAGAGATATGTGGAGAGTCATGAATGCCCATTGATGATATGTGAATGATACACAGAAGCAGTTTCCAAATACTTCTTTCCAGCTCCACCTTAAATATTACCTTTTGTG